TGTGAACGCAATATAATAGTATTATGAAAGGCCCATAATACTATTATATCACGCTAGAATAGTTGAGGATTCGGCTTGTCGAAGTCAAAACAATTTTTGCACTAACCCGACGTCTCAAAAATGTTCTGGTTTTCCTAAGGCTAAAAAGACTCATTGATGCGTATCAACGTTAAGCTATATTGTAGCTATGAACTGATACAAGGGCTAAAGTGATTCTCCGGACGTGTTTTTCATTTTTTTTTTTTAACACACGTACAATGAAATAAAGAGCTTCTTTTAAACGCTAAATGCTTAAATGTGCTGGTATCGTGATTTCCAGTTAGCTTAGTCATTAACATTGCTCATGGCTGGCGTTCTTAGCTATTCGCTTCGAATAGGGTCGCTCATTCTTCAAAGAGTCAACTTACTCGACATCCTTAACTAGTTAGGCTTATAAGGGGCAAATAAATCTTTCCCATGCGTAAGGAAACCTCTAAGCATCAACAGCTCGTTTAAGATAAGGATTCTTTTGAATACTTTAGGGGTAGGAATTATTAGGATATTTACACCAGCCGAATATAGCCTTGCGGTAAACTGACAGCATTAATAATAGGATAACATAACAACGGGAAAACAAGCCAAGCTAACATTCATTTTAACTCTGCGCTCTCGATCGAAAAGAACCGAATGACAGGAAGTTCCATTGTTAGCCAGTGAGGCCTTTAGAGTGCCCACACGGTAGACGCCTTTTGATTAGCATTTCTTATGCATAAGGAGTTGGAGCGCTTTGGCCAAATGGAGTTGCCGGTTACCGCTATGAAGAGGGTAAAGTAAAATTACATACATCATTAGCACAAAGATACAATGTGAGACTGCCATCATTACGAGCCGTGAATGACTTCTAGTCTGGCGAGTAAAACTGATACCGACATACAGAAGGGTAACCCATATCCATAAAGTCTGTGCGCTATTCTCTGCTATGAATAATTTTGTACGTTGAATAGATATCACCATAAGTAGCGTGTGAAGCATTACTGCTATCACTCAAGAGGATTCTGAACTTTACTATCGGTAATAGCTTTTCCGTAGATGTGCGTAAGCATTGCACGCCTTGCGGGTTACGCGGCCCCTCAGCTGCAAGTATCTGGATATATATTCATTGTGCGCTAGGCTCAATCCCCGGTATAGACCGACCTTCTTTCGCGGTGGCTGGAAGCCTGCGTAACTTCGATACCAGACGTAAAACTCGAAAAGAGAAGCTTGTAACCCTTATCTATCTGACAGCCGATTGTTGTGTTGTGTGCTGTTATCCCTGATGCCATTACCTATCCGTGTATGTGCACGCGCAGAAGCTTTATAGGTGTTAATTTTCTTTCCTTTTTGTTGTGGAAGTCAAAATAGGATAATTGAGGATATACCAAACCATGTAGTGAGCCGCTCAAAGCTGCCATTCTACATGTGCAGGGAAGGTGCAGTTAACACTGTAATATCATGCATGTATGTATAGAGAACCGTTTACTCTGTACGATATATCAGAAGCAGCCTGCAAACGGGGATGACAATGAATAACCATAATAATATGGAAATGGTAATTAGTGTAGATTAGATAAAAAAAAAAAAAGTAATTCTTTGTATACTGAAAATTTATTTGGTTCGCACCTTCAGTCTGCTCACAGTTTCCGTTAAGCTTGTGGGTGCTTTGAAAACGGGCGACCGAAAGAATTAAAATCACAGAAATGTAACTAGGAGAAAGGAGTATTTAGATCAACTGAGCAACGACTAGTGTTGCCATAAAGCTTATTAGCTTTGTCTTTTTTAGCATAACCGGTGCTGCTGTGTAGCGTAAGCTTTTCGAACTAGTCACCGTGACGACTGTTCTTTTCTAAAGAATCCAAATAGTTCAGAAAAAGCCGCCTACTTGCGCAGCGATATAAACTCACATTTTAGTAAGAGATGTTCAAAAAGGTTTCTACTTTTTAAACTTCATTTTTTCTGAATTAAATACCTGGACTATGTTTTCAATTTGGCTAAGCTTCCCAAAGTCTATGATCCCTTAGAATAATTCGTGCGCTGAACGCTATCATTTTTCTATCACAAACGTTCTCCTAACGGAAATTTCGTTTATGTTTACCTCAGCGTGACAAACGCAGCCGCCTGTTTTTGACGAGAACTCATTTCATCAATTGAAGTCTGGTACTTGCATTAATGGCTTGTAAACTTTGGCAGTCCAAACAATGCTTGTTGGGGGGTAAATGACGAGAAGCAGCGTGCCTGTCAAATCTTCTAGGACTGACAGAAACCACGGTTTGACTTGTCTTTCTTTCAGTGTAACCGCTATTCTCGTCCTGCTAACACATATTAGACTGTGACATTGAGGACAGTTTTTCTTTATATTCTGCCTGTTTTTCAGACCAATTTTACAGTCCTATATAGATCGAAACTAATGGTCTCCGCTGCTTTATTTCGAGTTAACTTCAAGGCGCACGTCATTTGAAGAAATCGGCTCCGGGATAACTGATTTAAAAGTTACGGCGTTCATTTTCAACATTCGTTCGCCAAGAGACTAGTTTTTTTAAGTACATTATCATCCGGATGATATATCCGTACGCCTCTTTCCTATTTAAGAAACATTAGCTTTTCCCTCTCACGTATAAGCATATACTATTAACGTTCTAATTTAAATTTGCGAGTTTGAACACGTAAGCAAGACATGCGAAACAAATTACTGATAAAAGATGACTATAGAAGCACAAAACGAAATACTTATTTTTTGTGACTCTTAATAAAAGTTCTACTGCGTATCTCTATGCCTCCAGGGAGTTCTAACCATTCTGTCCTTTTCATGCACCATGCTTTGTTTTTGTTTGAAATCTCTATTCGTTGTGTCGTGTACGGTTCGCCGTGTCTAAGCGCTATAAAGAATACGTTGTCTAGGCATGCCTTTCTTTCAGTTGTCAAGTATTCGCGTAATGTCATTGACCGTAACCGTATGTTGTCGTATCGCCGGTTGGTTATGAAGCAAAGCGCATTGCGTGTCAAGTTTACTAAACGGAATAGAGTTTTTTTACTAACTGATTTATAAAGCCAATCCAATAAACATTTGAGTAGAGGAGTATGTAAACGCTTCATGTATAAGTTCTTGAGGAAATTCTAGACGAGTGCACCCAAACCTTGTAAGGCCGCTGCTAAAAGTCTTACTGTCCTCATAGTTGGGAGCCATTGTAAACTCAAACTCCTTTAACACTCCCTGCCACCATCTTGCGAAACAGTGCAAGCCCAGTGCAGGCTGTACATAAGGCTATACGAGCTGTTTCAGTACTAAAATAAATAATTGAATTCAAGAAGGTTGTTCGATTGCAGTTCCAGTCCACGGAACACAATTAAGACGAGTGGAAGTTAAAGCCGTTACTCAAAGCCCGATTATAAGAGCAAAAATGTTAGCCAGATACAGAGCTTGGTCGATTTTGGGCCTTGGACACCGAGGCGTCGCCAAAGCTGGTGGTTAGACTTTATTTTTGTGAATTCATAACAAATACCTGGCTACAGTGTCGTGTACAACCATATCATATTTGCGGCTTAGCCAAGTCAATCTGGATACACGGCACACACCGAAAACGATGATTTGAAAGACCGATACTTCTTGGTGGCGCATATCGTCAAAGATTTGTTATTGAAAACTGCCGTATGGGAGAATGCGCCAAAAACAATTGCTATATATATATATCTATATAGCAGTGACAAAAGACGACACTACTCCACTAGTTGAAGCAACGGGGTGGACCGGGAAGGTCTTGAATGAGTCAAACTTGTCATCTCACAGTTGTCAAAATATTTGAGCCAAAAAAGGTTATACACTTTGGGGGTGAAAATATCGAATGGTAACTGACCTTTTTTATAACGAATAAACATTAATTCCATTAATTTTGCGGAGCTGCCAGCAGTCTGCGAAACTGTCAGGTTTCGTCATTATAGTCTCTGTCATAGCACGTACCTAGGACTGAACCCAACAAAATATCTATTTTATATATGCTGTGTACTTCTGGTCTCTGATTGAAAATCCATATTAACGCTGAACCTACCATTATCGGTCGCTTCCATCGTTTTCAAATTTTTGCAACGTTCACGTATCCTTCTACTTTATGACAGTTTAAATCTATAAATTAAAATTAACTAAAATGGTTTTGTCATTTTAGAATACTAATAATCCACTAATGCGTTCCGCAACAAATTGACTACAATCTAGGTTTAATTATTAAAATCCTTGAACAAATTTCTTTCAAGGATCAGCCATTTTAACTGGGTATTTTAGGAACAGGAATGTAGGAAGTGTTTGAAGGTTTAGTTTCAAATTAGCTTTTTTACATTTCACTAAAACTGATTTTTTTATCAATTGTGAGTGATCTTAAAACACAATTATCCAAGAAGAATCAACAAGATGTTTGCAAATCATTTTTCACCAACCGCGCTCCACGTTCCCAAATCAAAGCAGACGATTTTGGCGCTCATCGTAATGCCTTTGTTTACATTTTAGTTCCGACTGCTCGGCACCGGCCATGGACGCAGACGAACAACATTTATGCGCCCATAAGGTGAACAGATACCATCAAAATCCGTAGTAAATTGTCAAGAAAACCATTCTCTGCTGCAAGCAAAGTTCTATGCAGATTCATAAGAGGTGCCAAAAGTGCAAGTTTCTGTGGCGAATTAGATTGATTTTGCCGTTTGCCAACTAGGTCGGTACAGTCAATGACCGTTCCATCTGGGTCATTTAAGCACACATAAATAGCTGAATCAGCTGTTTAATAGGCATCACTATTTCGAAGTGTTGTGGCGAATGTTGAACTGTTAATGTCAGTTAGAAAATATATCATAGCTACTAATGATTCAAACAGTATTACCAGCCAAAGTCTCGAGGATCTATGTGAACTGCAAATGTGCTCTGTGATAAGATTAAACTAATTGCTGTCTACAGTCTTTTAGCAGGCGCCTTGGATTTTCTACTGGCGCATTTTCTACGGCTAGAAGGTACACAGAAAAGTCAGTTACTTATGAGTTCGTAATCAGTTACTTTACGGTCTTCAACGCAGCTGCCACTACGCAGTGGGCGTATAGTGAACGCATGAAAACTGCGTCTGCCATCGAGGCAGCCGTGAACATCCGAGGAGGATGCCAGCCGGCAGGAGAGCGTGGAATACCAGCACCGATAGGTACTGGCGTCTACCTAATCGAGAGGACAAACTGCTAGAAACGGCATTCGTTTTCTTTTTGGTTTATGCTGCCACGCTATTTAATGCATTCTAGGTCTTATCGCTGATTCGGAGCGATTAGCTGGATTACCTGTACCATAGGAAAATTCTGCGAGCTTACTCATGTTATGTTATAATTGCTTGCTGCAAAATCGTTCGTTGCGTATGGATACGGTTCCATTCTGTTTGTCTGAGTGAACGGAACCGCTGAACTGAGTAGAAGAACAGGTCGTGCTTGAAAAAAATTAGATCATCAATCGATCACAAGGCTCGAACCGACGATAATATTCCGCAATGGGAGTCACGATAAGAGTGCTTCGGTACGTGGTTGAGCCTGTATTGTTTCTGACATTTATGACAATGTATATGGAAATATCGGTGGTTCAGTCACTTATCGCTAAAAAATATTGTTTATTGAAGTTTTCCAACTGTGACAACGTCACATCGTCAAATCATATTAAAACTGCCAATCCGTACTACACAGCATATAACACCGAGCTGTCACTTTTAGTATTATTGGTTGGCCTCTGGTTCGGATCATGGGCCGACAAATATGGCCGGAAACGTATGATGATCGTGCCTTCAGTCGGAAGCATTTTGTCAACATTGAATTTTATAACTGCATCGTACTTTATCAAAGAGTCACCGCTTGTCTTGATGATCTCTGCCGGCGTTATCGGCTTGAGTACGGGCACGCTTGGCGTGTCCGCGACATGCTTCGGTCTAGTGAGTGACGTGACATCGTCGGAGCATCGAAGCACCCGGATCGCGGTGATGGAAGCGATGATTTTCACCGGAGGCGCATTAGGATTCTACGTGGCCGGCTTCATGTTAAAATATTCTAATTTCGTAGTCACGTTTACGTTTGAGCTAGTTATCCACGTCATAATACTCCTGTATATAATCATCGTGGTTCGTGAGCCAGAACGGAGTCGACAGCATGAATTGTCCACAACCTCTGTGTTGAGCTTACATCATGTGATGTCGATGGGTCGTACCGTAACTCGGCCCCGGGAAAATAACTACCGCTTTGTCCTTATTCTTCTTTTGGTCTCGTCGCTCATGCTGTCCTACGGAACGGCGGCCATAACTTATATTACTATGTCGTTCGTCCAGCTACCGCCTCTCAGATGGGATAGTACGAACTATTCGTTTTTTCATGGCCAATTGATCGCTGTACAAGGATGCGCAATCGTTTTTGGACTCCCAGTTTGTTTGCGTTTCTTCCGAATGAAAGATACTACGTCAGGTTTTCTTGGAGCTCTATCCCGATTCTGCGGCCTTTTTTGGATGTCGATCGCATCACGCGCCTGGATGATGTATCTCACCGTTTTTGTGCTGTCTATGTCGGAATTTGCCATGCCATCGATCCGCTCTATCATCTCGAAGATCGTCGGTCCCAACGAGAAAGCGCAGGTCTTCGCCTTCATGAGTGCTCTGCAGTCGTTTGCCTTCATGACGGGGTCACTTCTGTTCCTTGGACTTTTTCCAATGACGAAGGATTTTTTCCCTGGCTTTGTATTTGCGTTAGCCGCTTGTTTTCAGATTATACCGGTTTTATCTTTCATTTATTTGCACTTTACACTTGATGCCAACGCACTGTCAGTGCCTCTTCGCACCGAAGAAGAGATTCCTCGGTGTGAGTCTACTGAAGACTCTGTGGCAGAGTCATAAACGCAATAAGACTGTTAGATAAGCATTAGACTCAGGAGACAGGAACCAAGGAGAACATGTTTGATTCCAATGTAAAAAGTTGGTTAAATTTATCATATGGGTTGTTAGGTTGAAAGTGAATGATTTATCTTCCCGATGGATGCAAATCCTACTTAAATTGAACATTTTTGTCGGTAATGAATTACTAGCAAAAAGGCTTCTAGTTTATTTCGCGACTATTGGCTTTAACCTTCGTTAGCGGAATTCATTAACAGGCACCCTTGTAGCTACTTGGCCATGAAAGTCAACTCTTATGGCAGGGAATAGCCTAAATATTAAGTATGTTTATTTCTACTAAGGGACATTGTTACATGTATTTACATTTTAAATGCGTAGATCTGTACTGCGCGGAATTCTTTTTATGCTTAGACTAGCATAGAACGGACAACCAACACCTATTTTTATTCCTGTACTGAAATATGTAGCAGTTTGTTTTATAAAAGACAAACATTTGTTAACGAACTTAATACGTTAAACTTAAATATTATTTATGTGCTATAAATACTCTGTTTAATCGTTCTTTTTTAAGTATAATATATTATACATAAAGAAAATTAATTACTAGAATTTTTTTCTTCAGGTCAAGTCTTTTTACTGGGCCAGTTTCACAATATTAACATAGGAAATTCTAAACAAATGGCAGACATTTACTATCAACCTCGAAAGGACGTTAGTGCTCACTTACAACTATTTTTACGTAGCGGGACATTCGTAAACACTACAACTCTAACATGTACAGAATGTAAAGAACTACCAAAGATGTTTCAAGTGTCTCCGTATATATATAATATTTCAATAAATGTAACCGTATACCATTATCATGTAATATTCTTTTGCGGCTGTCGTTTTTATAAATAGATTAGAGTTGGTCGTTTGATAATCATATTCAGTGTCTACAATTTGTTTTACGTGACATGGATTAACTATATCACTTTGTATGCATTTTTGGAGTTTGAATTGAAAGGAAAATTTAACTAAAATATTAAATCAACGGTTGCGAACTAGTAAATACCAGCTGTTAACTAGGTATTTACAGTAACCCGAGCATTAAAATGCTGATTTAATGGAAACTGCTTTTCTAAAGCTCTCTATATTTTGGTTCCGTGCGCACGGAATAATACCCGCTTGTTTCGCACATCTACGAATATAACTTGATTTGAATACACGGAATAATTGCAACCGGCATTGGCGCAGTTTAGTCAGTCTAGATCGATGAAGCGCGTCATGTGACAGCTTAGTGGGTAACGTATCTGCCTGCTAATCTTGGGGACACATTGTAGTCTAAGTTCGAACCCGGGCATAGGCAGGCAGACTTCGTTTCGTGCTGGGAGCCAGCCAGCCGTGCGATGAAACTCTGCCTAACTACGATTTCGAACGTGAAACTCGAAACAAACATCGACATAGCCTCTAGATAGCGATTCTCGTGTATGAAGATAGCGATTCTCGTGTATGATATTAAGCTAAATTACTTTACTAGTCAATACGGACCCATCATAAAGCTAAGTACAAAGGCGTATGACATCCAATATTAGTCTTCAAGCAGGATGTAGGGTGTATAGGAAATGAAAACACTGTTTTCATTTCCCTTTATTTAAGGCAGTACATTTCTCGAACTGCTACTGCGGACCATATATTTGAGCGCCTGAAATAGTTCTTCTAGCATCTCTAGCGAATAAATATGTACACATATAAGGCATATATATGGCGACCCATGTATGAAGTTCAAGCAGTTCACTAGAAGGTCTCCTGGCTTATGCTCCTGCTAATATTAGGGATACGTGCTGGTGTAGGTTCGATTCCACGCGCAGAGACACTGCGTTTCGCGCTAGAAGCTAGCCGTGTGAGTGAATGCTCAACAATACTGTGCGAATTAGCTGGGCGCATCGTGACGTAGCTATAAAATTATACGGGTGCCGACAGGAGTTTGTAATCAATAGTTACCACAAATATTCAGTCACTGATCATTTGGACGAAGTCAAAAGTGAAGTAGTTCTTTTGAGGTGAATGCTTTGTTAAGTGGCTCTTACTGGAGCCGAAGATCTCGCAGCCAACCGCATTTGCATTCTGCCTGATTTGTTGTTAGTAAACTAATTTACAATCGGAAAAAGATATTTGGCTGGGGTTCAATTTTGTAAAGCGTTGACAAAATCATGAATGATGACATATCAGCGCATTAATACGTTGAAAAAGTGTCTAGTTACAGATCACCCAGAGGAAGATCGTTGCGTTATCGAGTGAAATAACTGTAACAAAGCGATCCGATTGACTTTTATAATAGGCGGCATACAGAGGCACTACGGCGCTCAAAAAGCTTAGAGGAGCCATGCCCTATTAAGACGATACAAACTATTTTTTCGGCATATGTAATCCAGTTACAAGCTTACCTGGGCGTTATGTCCATTGCTGAATATAATAGCGTTCATTCACAGCAGTCCAGCGGCTATATTAGATGGAGCGAATATCGATTCTAGAATATAGTTGGATGTTGGTTCAAGTATGGACACAGTGCGTACTATGGTAAATTTGTAGCGCGTAAATTCGAAATTAAATTTTCAACTTGAAGCACTACTTGAGTGTTAGATATTTCGATCGGCAAATTTTTCGTCTGACCACTCTCTCCCAAGCGTAGTTGCGACAAATCAAAATTTATAACAAGGATGAACCTTCTGAACGAACAGAGCCATTGGTACTAAGTGTCATTTGACGCTAGGCGTTGCGGCCGTCTTCAATGACGTATTTCCTCGCTATACCGTTACCGCTGCCGGTGATACATTATCAATAAGGGTTCTACGATGGCGGTGTTCTTAATTTTTGTCATTCAATCAACAACGAAAAATTCGTTAACGTGCAACGATCAGTTCTTAGAAGATGATGGCCAACATTTTCTGCAAACAGGATGAAAAAAATAACAGTATACGGTGTTTGTAGGGAATACTACACAGCACATAAAACTGGCCAACATGTTGCCGCAGAAACGCATCGCATTCTGTTATTGCACTATACGAATTCGGCAGCAGTGACGAATTAGCTGGCGTCATACGGCGGCAATTTTCATTGCGACTATTCGGATAATAAACGTTGTTGAAGCGTTACACTTCACCGGGTTCAACCCCCGGCGGCACGATAGCTGTTTGAGCGTACTCATATGCCCCATGTATGCATGGGATGCTACCTCATGAAGCTAATGCAACTTCTATTCTGTGAAGCATACCGAGTGTTGCACTTTTTCCTATCGCGTAGATAAATGTTCCATGTGTCTTACGTTGCATTCGGTGGACTTAACTGCAAAAATGTTGTGGACACTTCCAAGGCTAGCAACTTCAACGACAAAAGACCTAAAGCGCCGCTGCAACAAAAAACGAAAATTCCTTTATAAGAAAATGAACTTCAACTTCAGTTGCTACCGTTATATTTTGGTGGTTGGCTCTTTTGCCATCCTCGTTATCCGCCCACGGTTGGCCATTTGATCACTGAAACGTATATAGTAGCAGCCCGAGGACCTGCTATGGCCAACGGTGCTGGAGTGGGCCATCGGTAATGGCACTGTCCGACGTAGCTAGTCTGCCTGAATCTTTTCTTCTGTTATATGTTTGGGTGACTGCGATAATTACAGTATAAACAAAAAGAAAAGATGCGAGTGGCAGCAATCTAGTTGGACCATCACAGGGATTGGGGATTTTGATGCTGTTTATATCGAATGTGTAGAAGCTACAAACGACTCGCTACAAAGTTACGCGTAAAGTCGGTAGAGAGCAATCAGTCCCTTAATGAGTAATGGAGAAGGTAGAAGTCTTATAAAAAGGATCGCTTTGAGGCTATAAACAGATAGAATTGTAAAAACGGAAGGAACGCGACACAGATTAGGGAGCGGCTGGACAAAGCCTTGTGGAGTGCCTGAAGTGGAGGTGATTGATATGGTAATAGTGATGCCTTGCGCCTGTCTGGCGCTCTGCTGATTTAGCTTTTGTTATTGATGTTGTTGTTGTGCAAGTTGATGACTGACGATGTGACCGACCTTCCACGTAACTCAATTTGATGACGCCTGCGGGCTGGTGATGTCACAAAGGATCGTACATATGCTTGCATGAGTTACCTCAGTTAGTTTGGCTGTACGACGTATGAGCACGACCAGCAGCATCTACGAACGACGAGAAAAACAGCGACTACAATAACAAGCGCATGATTATGTTTAACAGGATCTAGTTGCTACCTCTAACGCAACCGGCATAGTTCACGCAACTTTGTAAAATGTCCAAAACCATTTCTCGTAGAAAGTGACAGTTATAATAACGTATTTTGGCAGCAAATGGTGATCATGATGCTAATGATGATACATCTCGACGTTTATGTACATAGAGCGTAGGTCTATTATACGAGCTCAATCCACAATGCGTCCAGGCTTCAATAGGTAAGCTTAAGTGGAAGACCTGTAATTAGAGAGCGTTCTTTTTATTTACCTGTTTCTATCGCATAACCATTTATATCTTTTTAATCTATTATTATATTTTATATTACATATAAGATATACGATGACTACAGAGGCGAAGAAAGAAGTGCACGCATTATAACTTAATTGGTTCCAATTGAGAGTCCGTCAGTTTTCTATGATTTTCTCGGCAGTTCTGTTACAGTTTTATGTTTTTAGATTAATTCGCAGCTGTAAGCCCAATTAGTTTCGGAATAAATTGGAACAGTTTACACGAAGGATAACTTAGAAATGAAGCTTTTCGAAACAGCAATGAGTCAAACTTTTTATCAGACAAAGCAACTCAAATCAAGCGAACCTATAGAAAAGCTTGCACTACTTTTAGTATTGAGATTTCAAGCGAAGTCATAGTTGCGTTGTTTTAAATTTCGAAATTACCTTAACAAACTAGAAAAGAACAAAAACGTACCTTAAGAAGAACTGTGTGTCTTTTTTCAAATCTTTGCCGTTGTAAGCAAGAGCGCAGTGAAGCTCGTATCCTTGACACCTGTTTTCGTCATTCCCTGCTCAGTATTCAACAATTTTAATTCTTACGTCATTTAATGTAACTAACATTTGTGAACATAACGCGAATTGTTTACCTATAACTTACGCAGAAAACCTGTCTTGCATATTGATGTATTGCTAGATACTTCAGCAGAAATCTAGAACTCCCAAATTAAATAGCCCGCACGTTCAAGATCTGAGGCGCTATCTGCTCGAATAGGTATTTCTTATTAACCTAATTAAAGCACAGGACGCATTGAGGATTGAGCTCGTTTAGTTGACCCACGCCCTAAGTACCGCCGTGGAATCACAAAAGTCGAGATATGTTGCGTATCATCGTAAGCGCCATCATCATCATTTCGTCACAATTTCTACTTTGTTTGCCTGCGTCCATCACATCTTTGACTGGCCGCTTCTTTGATTTGAACGAACAGCTCGAATAAGTAGTCAAGTCACTAACTCGCTGATTGACACTAGACGAAGCGAGCACAGCAAACGGGCAGAAAATCTTGCTACATGCCGGAGTTCTACGAAGCCGTCCCAGCCATATAGACTGTTCCATGATAGCCAGGAGAACTACCGCAGCAAAGCCGTATAATAACTGCTTGACTGACTTATAGCCAACGTTGAGCACCGTTATACCGCAGCTGTCAACTTATTTAAGTTCCACTCAAGTTTCGCATTGCCGGCCGTTCATGGCGACCAGCTGAGGCAAGCGTAATACACCTGACATTATCCCACCGAGAAAGGTAGAGGTCATTATCTATCGTGCGGCCATATTATGGAGTTTTTATGATGGCACAATGATTTATTCTTCGGACCCTGATAGACGCAAAGCTTTTCGTCTTCTCACATAC